TGAGGTGAAGACTGATTATTAATCGTTTTACACATCATACTATACATGAAGTTAATGGTTGAAATTATGTCATATCATATGAGAACCAGTGATCCAACTTTAATGAACACGGCTTATTAGAATAGTATCATAAAGGTGATTCAAATAATGGTATTTTAATATTCATAGCATAATAAAAATAACTCGCTAATCAGTGATAAATTTTTCTAAAGAATTATTAGTTTGCATGTATTGTATCCACCGTGGAACTCTAGAATAAATAAATAAAAATATTAAAATATTATATTTGCTTATTATTATATTAATTATTACCAAAACGTATGTATAAAATAAAAACTAGGGAATTAAATCTCATTTCAAAGATATGTAGTATAAATATTAATAAGTTAAAATTAGGCATTGTGACTTTAAGTAATAAATATTATTGCATTTAACACAGATATTTATATGTTTATGGAAGTTAAAATAGGTCTTCATGACTTTAACAGTCATTTGCAAATTTTAACTAGGGAATTCGCTAACTTTATTAGAAATTCGCCAGGAATTTGAACTTCGTTAATAATATAAGTCTTTATTTTTTAATACTAACTTTTAGTTTTTTTACATACAGTTAAAACTATAGTTCTTAGCAATACATTCTATATGATTTTATAAAGGAATAATAAAAGATATGTCACGTTGTATTTAAATATGTCACGGGAAATTTTTTTGGACATTTTTCATATTCGATTTTGTAATATGAAGATCCTCTACCCTTAAGCTGTCGCTAAATTCATTGTTTATCTATAAAAATTTTTGCACATGACTATTTATAATAATTAACAGCAAATGAAGTTGAACTATAATTGTGCTTAATATTAATATATTTTAACATAAACACTTATTCATATATATAAGGAATATATAATGGCTAACATTGTTCTTCCTCTTTGTGTTCCTTCATCATACAAAGATCATCAGTATCAAGTACTTCAAAGTTTTCTTTTCTTTAGTGAAATTTTCAATTAAATTTCTCTACTAATCAGAAAATTTTTATTTTTAAATTAGGGATCTACTGTAGAACTTAGCAAAGATCTATCCAACAGTACAACTTTGTATATTGGAAATTTATCATTTTATACAACAGAAGAACAGATCTATGAACTATTTTCAAAAGCAGGAGAAATCAAGAGGATAATTATGGGATTGGATAAGTTTCAAAGAACACCTTGTGGATTTTGTTTTGTTGAGTAAGTTGGAGTTTTTATTTTTAAGAAAAAAAAAAGAGTACTTGATATTAATTAACCTTTGAAAATTTTTTTTTGTAATTATTGTGTAAAGGTATTATTCACATCAAGATGCATTAGATTGTATGAAATATATTAATAGCACCAAATTAGATGAAAGAATTATTAGAACAGATTTAGATCCTGGGTATAAAGATGGGAGACAATTTGGAAGAGGTAGATCTGGTGGTCAGGTATATATAATATATATATATATTATAGAATTTATTTATTTATTTATGTGTATAAATAATTCAATCTATATTTTATAAATAAATAAAGGTCAGAGATGAATATAGGCAAGATTATGATACAGGACGTGGTGGATGGGGGCATCTTCGTGCAAAAAATGAAGCAGAACGTGCAAGAAGACAAAAAGAAGAATACGAAGCCATTACTTCTATTCCTATGGGTGCTGGTGAATACAAAGGAAAAGGTAATCATATGTTCACATTGAATATTAATAATTAAGATTTGAAAATTATTTGTTGATCAACATCTTTTATTGTTATGATGAATACCTAGGAACTACATCAAAGAAACGTGAAAGAGATAGTGATGATCAAGGGCGTGAAGATCAAGGTCGTGAAAAGAATCCACGTTTTAGAGAAGACAAATCAGATGATGAGGAGGATGAAATGCAAACCGATGTTTAATATTGTAATGTCAATAAATTTTTTTTGGACAATTAATTTTATTGACATTTTTAAAATAATTTTATTTATTTCTACATGACGTTTTTATAAATTAAAATTTCTTATAGATTATAAAAATAAAAATATCAATAATTTAATTTAATCAGTAATTAATTTACCATTTTCACACAAGCTTTCAATCATACGCTCATCACATAAATCAATTTTCTACAATTCCTGAATGAAATTATTCAAATAAATCTTTATCATTCATTTTAAATTTTTTATATATTTGCTAGTAGATAATGTGAGAATTAATTATCCACCAGAAACAGGTGGAATTATTGCAACTTCATCACCAGATTTTATCATGCTCTTATCAACATTATCAACATATTCCATATTGATTGCAAACATACAATTCTCAAGTATTGGTGTAAGGTTTTTATGTCGACTTTTTAATATATTTATGATTTCTTGAAGTGTTGTTATATTATTTTTATCGTTATTACTATTCAAAGAAATTGTTTCTGATGATAAATTTGTCGCATCTCGAGCTGTTGCAAAATACACAATCTTAACTTCTTGCTATAAATAAGTTAATTGATTTGATTAGATATTTATAAGATCAAAATTAAATTGAAAAAATTTAAATAAAAAATAAAATATTTTACTAAATTTGACATCAATTATACAATTTCTAATATTAAAGGTATTAAAAGGGACAAAAATTATTTATCTAGGTGTGACAGTAATTTTTCAATGAAAATCAAAAAATAGATAAAAATTAATCAAGAATACGCAACTTAAGGCATGAAAATATGATAATGATTTTTACCTTCAATTGATGACTTACTTAATCAGACAGTGAAAAGGTAGACAAAAGGGTTTCAATTATATACAAAATAAATGGTAGAAATACTTTCGGAAAAAATAATATTCATATCACTTTGATCAACTGGACTAAATATAAATACGTAACATCATAAATCCGTTGCGCCAGAAGCCTTAAGAGGCGAATTGCATATACAATAGCACACACACTCTTATAGTTTTAGGGTAATAATTATATAGGAGTGGACAATAGAATAGTATTATTGATGGTGGACAAAACTATTTTTTGAAAAACAGTGGATGAACGGGACACATGAGAAAATTTTATTTAAAATTGATTAATTGCCACAACGGATTTTTATATTAATAGTAATAATCAAGAAGATTTTAGTTGATATTACTAATGGGGTAATGGGTAATAATATTATGTGTATTCGTATGTTTGTTTTTTCCTTTATGGTTGAATGATGACTATTGTTACGCGACTATCAAAAATATTCTAGTTGATATATATTATTAATGGTAATAGGATTATTAATAATAACTCCTATAGTGCGTGTATATATATAATATTGTGTTTTCTACGGATCTATGGTTAAACGACTAATTATCGTTACATAGCCATCAAAGAAGTATAACCATTAATAATAATTCTTATGGTATATATAGCATTGCATTAATATTTGTCTTCTTCAAAAATCGGGATCTATGATTAATGAAAACACTCTTGTTATTATCGTTATTATCGAAACAACCTTTGCAGACAAGTCACAAATAAACCCAGCATTAAACGTCAATCCAAACACATAGCTTTATTCTGGTCTTGGTTCGTTAAGATGGTTATGTTCCCTTCCACTGTTGGTCTTACGTGCCCATGTTTTTATCACGTTATGCTATCCAAGTTTGGAAATTATCTACAGATCAGGGATGGCGCAGTCAAGGGACTATTTATTATTTATAAGGAAAAAAAAAGAGGCTTATCCATTTAGTAATCTTTCCCAAAACGCACATTAGTGTCTTCAAAACAAGAAAGAATAAAAGAAGGTTAGGATGGTGGAAGAAAGGTTTATCATGACTTTGTGTCCTCCAGATTGATAAAACAAGATTTGTTTATTTTCAACATCCAACAAAGTTTGATCTTAAACTCACCTAAACTGTTAAGTAGTATTAATAATGTGTAGTTGGGGTTTGTATTCTACTAAAATTAGGATTTCTATTCGTAATACAAATTCTTATTCGAACCCATTTATTTTATTCGAATAAACTTTCAATGTAATTCAAATACTCGAATTCATGATAATAATAATGACGAATAATTCGAATAAACCTTATTATTATCAATAGCATATTATTATTATCATTATCATTATTATTCGAATAGAAACCATAATTAAAATCAAAGTGTAACCACCTTAACGGTATCCGTGAATATAAGCCCTATGTGCAGTTCGATCTAATAATATATAATAATAATAATAAATCACTTTGAGGCTGTGGAGGATAAAAGTCTGCTATAAATACAATTTTTTCTCTTTAATTGGTAAAAAATAAAAATTTTATCTCCCAATAATGAATAATAAAAATTTTCTAAAGATATTATTGTTTTTAATTTCATCGTTGTTAATTTATTATGTAAATGCTGGTATAATAAAAAAATATAATTCTGATATTAAAGTGATCAATAATGCATTTTATGTTAGATTTACAACTTACAAATCATCAACATCATCCTCAGTGTCAATATCGTCAATCACATCAACAACAATTTCTTTTAAAAATGACACAGCTACCATTAATACTATTAATTTAAAAGAAATTTATAAATTACAACATAATGAATTTTATGAAGAATTAAAAATTCGTAATATTTCCATAAAAGTTCGTCATGAATTTGTTGATTTGATAAATGCAATAAGTTTTGAAGTTGAACATTTAAATCATCTTGAAATTATTAAAGATTTACCTAATGTTGATTCTGTTGAACCCATAGTATGTATCATCATTTATTTTTTTAGAATTACTAAGCAATTGAATAATATAATATAATATATGTACTTTTTAGATGATACATCAAGGCCCAAAATTCATAAATAAATCAATCAATCAAAATAATGGTTTAAACAAACGTGATTGGATTTCACATGCACCTTTAATATTATCATCAAAAATAGATCTTAATACGCCTCATCATATGACAGGTGTTGATTGGGTTCATAAACATCTCGATGTTACTGGAAGAGGAGTAAGAGTTGGTGTTATTGATACTGGTAAATTATTTGCACATTTTTTGTTTTATTTGCTTTTATACATAAAACAAATAGATGATATGAATGAATTGATCTTTGTAGGAATTGATTATAGACATCCAGCATTTGGAGGATGTTTTGGTCCAGGATGTAGAGTGGAAGTAGGATTTGATTTTGTTGATGATGATGATGACCCACTTGATAATTGTAATGGCCATGGTACTCACGTCGCAGGTATTATCGGTGCCTTGGATGATGCAAGTGGACTTGTAGGTGTTGCTCCTGATGTAACATTTGGAGCATATAGAGCAATGGATTGTTCTGGTCAAGGTTCAGATGATGCACTTATAAAAGCATTGGAGCAAGCTTCACGAGATAATATGGATATTGTAAATTTGTCTTTGGTGATTATTTATTTTGCTTACTTGTGTATATATATGTGTGTGTGTTGTTTATTTTTAAATTTGTTTGTTTGTTTGTTTATTTATTATTATTATTTAAAAAATTAATATTAAGGGAGGAAATTTCTGGGCATCAACACCATTATCAGACTCAATAGGAAAAATGATAGAATCAGGCGTTGTAGTGGCTGTAGCCGACGGTAATAGTGGCCTTGATGGTCTTTGGAAAACAATATCTTCAGCATTTGGATATAAATCATTATCGGTCGCTTCTGTTGAAAATAGTCATTTTTTGGGTTTTAAAGCACATGATATAAATGACAATGATTGTTCTCTAGAATATTTAACAGTAACAGCAAGGGCTTTACCATTTGATAAAGGAGAGGTTGTCATGTTTCCGAAACATTCATGTCCTGAAGATTTGTCAGTATATCATAATAAAATACTATATCTTGATTTATCTTCCAATAGCACATCGAAGAAAGATTGCCCTCCTGTACGTGTTTAACTTAATTTAAATGCTTTCATTTTATTGAGTTTATTCATGTAATAATAAAACTTATTCTCCATTTCCATTACAATGTTAGCTTCCGCCAGAATTTGTTGATAAATTATTAGCATTGATAATATCAAAAGTTGATTTATTTGATCCAATTTTAGCAAATTTCGACATCAAAAGTTTAAAATTACCAATGGCTACGATATTATCACGACAAGCAAATAAATTAGTAGAAAGATTGAAAAAAAATCCGGGTGGTTTAGAATTTGATTTTTCTGATAAACGTGGTTATATGATTCAAAGTCATGTTGGTGGAACTGTATCCTATTTTTCATCTTGGGGATTAACACCTTATCTAGACATCAAGGTATTAATCATTATTTCTTTCTTTAATCAATCAATATTAAAATTAATACAATTAACTAATCTTTAATTTCATGTAAATGGCTGCTTTTAATAGCCAGTAAGTATATTTTACATACTGATCAAAGAAAAATTTTATAATCATCATTATTATTATAAATGCATTAATTATCTAATCTACTTTAATAGGAAATAGCAGCTCCAGGTGGAATTATTTTTTCAACATTTCCAATAAATCTTGGTAGTTATGCAAATTTAATGGGAACGAGTATGGTAATTATTCAAATATTATTTAAAAAATATATATATACACACACACACACACATTCATATATATTGTTATTTAGGCAACACCATATATATCTGGTGTAGCAGCTTTAATAAGACAGGCCAATAAAATAGAAAAAAATTCTCACCGTTTTATTCAAAAGGCTTTAATGAATTATGCGATACCAGTTCACGATCAAATATTCAAAATAGTCCCACCAGTTTTAAGACAAGGTGCTGGATTAGTAAATGTTTATAATTCAATTAGAGCTATGGCGTTGTAAATGGCTGCTTTTAATAGCCAGTAAGTATATTTTACATACTGATCAAAGAAAAATTTTATAATCATCATTATTATTATAAATGCATTAATTATCTAATCTACTTTAATAGGAAATAGCAGCTCCAGGTGGAATTATTTTTTCAACATTTCCAATAAATCTTGGTAGTTATGCAAATTTAATGGGAACGAGTATGGTAATTATTCAAATATTATTTAAAAAATATATATATACACACACACACACACATTCATATATATTGTTATTTAGGCAACACCATATATATCTGGTGTAGCAGCTTTAATAAGACAGGCCAATAAAATAGAAAAAAATTCTCACCGTTTTATTCAAAAGGCTTTAATGAATTATGCGATACCAGTTCACGATCAAATATTCAAAATAGTCCCACCAGTTTTAAGACAAGGTGCTGGATTAGTAAATGTTTATAATTCAATTAGAGCTATGGCGTTTGTTCATCCATTCAAACTTGCTTTAAATGATACAGTCAATGGTAAAAAAGATGGTTATTATGACCTTAGCATTGAAAACTATTGTGATAAACATTTGGAATATCGTTTAGTTCATATGCCAGCTGTTTCAGTAAATGGTTATGATGGAGAGAAACAGTTATTACTACAGGAATTGAAATATCGTAGAGAATATGCAGTTGTAAATTTTAAACGGGTGTTTATTAAAATTGAACCTTTTGGAAAAGAAAAAATAACATTAAAAATAACACCACCAAAAGATTTACCGTCATCTGAACATTGGTTTTATAGTGGATTTATAAAATTTGTTCCTGTAGATAGCGATGATCCAATTATTTCTGTTCCATATGGTATGTTCGTACATATGCGTATATATATATATATATATATTACAATGATATCTTATTTTTTAATTTACATGATTTATTTAGTTGGATTAAAAGGTGCCGCAAAAACGTTACCAATATTTGCAAAACCAGATTATCCACAACTTTACTACGACTCTAAATCATTATATTTTCCCAATGAAACAGCCACTTATGGAATGAAAAATAAAACAGATGCTCCAATTATATTAATATCATTATCAACACCAACAAAATTATTACTTGTACAGGTACTAGATGAAAATCAAAAATTGTTAGGTTTTGTACCTGGTAAAGGTGTCGGTGGTAAGGTGAAGAAGGCATTATGGATGTGATGTAGAGAGTTTTATCAATAATTTTTAAAGGGAGGGAAGGGGTCTTGATTTTTCAAGTTGGTAATGAAATGGTTTATGATCGAGTCAATGTATTTTTTGGGTAAAGGAAATTGATGAGTCCTAAATAATTTATAATTTATCCATCTTTAGTCGGTTATTGAGATTTGTGGTTCTAACATATTTCCGTACAGCAGAGGAGAGAAGTTGTCTTGGTTTTTATTTAATATTTTTATTTGTTGCTAATTGTGGTAATTATAATAATAAATAAAGATATTACGTAATTTCATTTCTAATTGTTCTTCATTTGATATCATTTTAAGTTGGAGTGCGTGAGAATAACAAGCACCAAATTATTTACATTTTGATACGTTACGAATATCTTCTGGTTTATTATCATTGTCATCAATGATAATTGTTTGAATGAGGGAAATCTGAAAAAAAAAAGAAAAAAAGCTCCCACCTGGGGGTTCTCCTCCTTGAGATTTTTTGCGAACTTTTACAGTATATGTTATTCCTGTACACATATCGACCTACACAATAAACCAATGTGCCTTTCCCAAAGTCGACCACTCTGTAATTGTCAAAACTCCCATTTCTTTTGTGCAGAGCGCTTCCACTTATCATATTTTCGATGGAGGAGATGGTCTTGATGAAGCATGTATATAGATAAAAAAAAATGGAAGTTGTGTTTTTTTTTCTTTTAATTAGCATTCTTCATTTGATATTTCTTTTTTCATTGTTCGAATTAGAAGCCACTCCTTAAACTAAAGTTTAATTTCTATTTTAAAGAAAAATTTTTTTTATTTTTGTAAATTAATCAAAATGTTGAAAGACCAAACATAAATTTATTTATACAACCAAAGGAATGGAATGTATGTATAATAAATACCAAAACCAATCAATTCATACTTGTTTTTTTTTACTGATCTGACATCTTTTCAGTATTTATATAAGAACCTCTATCCATTTAAAAAAAATTTGGCAGCACTTTAATGTTAATGTTAAATACAACAACAAACATTTTCGAAAATTCATTTTTAACATTGCAAACTAATTGAGTTTAATTGTTTCTTTGTTGGGAAGTTCAATGATTTTGTGTTGCATGCTATTTTTATCGATCTCATTTCAGATTATTAGTGACATGGTTTTCTTTTTTCACCAAAAAATACCAATAGTTTCTCACGCTAAAGTTATTTTTTCAAAATAGAAAAACTAGCAAAAAAAAAAACATGTCAACTCAAATTCTTTCTGAAAAACTTCAATTTGGAACCAAAATCGAAGGTCATGTTAATATTGACAATGTATACAAAAGAATTTTAAGATCAAATAAGATTCATGCAATTTCAGAACCAAACTCTATCAACTCTCGAGTTATTGAAAGAGCTCCAACTTCAAATGGATTTATTTCTGCTTTTTTTCAAGCTTATAGTTATCATCAACATTTAAAACTTTCACCTGATGATATTTGGCTAGCTATTGCCTTGGGAGTCAGTCAGCATATTAATTTTAATTCGGAAAAATATCGTTATGTGTTTGTTGAGCATGAAGGCAAAAAAGAAATTAATGTTTATGTTGATGGCCTTTTGGATTTTAGTGGTGAATGTATTGGAGGAAATTGGGACCAAGCGGTTCAACAGTTAACTGATGCAACTGATAGTCAAGTTAAAGATGAAGTTGGAATAAAAAGATTATTAGAATGTAATTTTACAACTACAACTCCTACTACAAAAACTGCTAGTAATATCGTATTATTAGATACTGTCAAGTCCTATTTTGATTATAGAATATCAACTTGTTGTGGCATTCCAAAGATCACTTTGACCGGTACTTTAGAAGATTGGATGAAAATTCAAGAAAAATTAGTTCAATTACGTAAATTAAATTTGGATTTAGATTTTTGGTTAAATAAATTAGATCCAATTATTGGGGAATTTGTTTCGACTTATAAAGGTGAAATACATGAAGATTTTTGGAGTAAAGTTTTGTCTTACCAATCTTATGGCTCTGGCGAGCCTACTTTAAGTGGTTGGATTACCACATTCTTTCCTTATACTTGTGATGGTCATCCTTTAGGAGGAATCGCGGAATTAGGTGATTTACCTTATGGTCGAGTTAGTGTACCCTTTATCGGTAGTTTTGATGAAGTCGGCATGGATTTAAAGCTACAACTTGTTACAGGTTTTATAGGCCACAAACAAGAAAGTGTTAACAATAATGATGGTGATGTAGAAATTATTGTTTCACCTGTAATTAGTTGGGCGATTGCTGAAAATAATGAATTACAAGCTGACAGTTACAAAGAACTAGGATATTAATTTTATCATTATTATTACCTTTGCTTTTGATTTTATGTTTTATATTTTTATTGTTATTATTTTTAAAAATAAATTAAATGTGACTTTGTAAAAAAAAAATCAAAATAATAGTTTAACATTATGAATAATGAATATGAATTCAAAAATGTTTTGCAAAGTTCTTTTAACAGTTGAATTTACTTTACAATTTCGTTTTTTAGTGCTTGTCGATTTCTTTTCTTTCTCCTCAATATACAGTCCATTTTCTCTATAATGGATCTTGGACTGAGAATTTAAGCCCAATTTATATGTCTCGTATTATTACCGTTGACTCTCTCTATAACAGACATGTATATTATAGAGAGAATGAATTTGTATACATTTGCAAATTATCAAAGAGAGGTCATTTTGCTTCAAATAAATATATTTTACTTTAATTGACGATCCGTGAATGAATGAGAGGATTTTTGTGTGATTGGTGGGGCAAAAATGTAAAAAAATCACCAATCAATAATGTTTAACAAACAATAAAGCACAACGTTTCTGTATTACAAACTTATTCTTTTTATGTTATATATAAAGTAAATCTCATAGATTACTGTATTAAAATATTAAAGGGTTTGGAATGTTTCTTGAAAACTTTTGTATGTAGGTAATATATAAAAATTCGGAATTTTTTAACTTTCAGCCAACACTATCAAGTATTCTGACCAGATTTAAGCTCTTTTTTTTATCGGTTTATTAACAAAAAAACTTTTATTTAAATTAAAACCCCAAAGTCGAAATGTTTTGACTTGAGGAAACTACATAGTAAAAATCAGTTTCGACCTTATTTTGACCCTATTTCGACCAGATCTGCAAATGGTCGAAATAGTTTCAACTTCATGTATAATTACAACAACCAAGAATCATCTCCCCACCAGTAAAGCATACTTTTTCTTTCAAGGGGCCTTTATTGAACCTATTTTTGTAAATGGCTGCTTTTAATAGCCAGTAAGTATATTTTACATACTGATCAAAGAAAAATTTTATAATCATCATTATTATTATAAATGCATTAATTATCTAATCTACTTTAATAGGAAATAGCAGCTCCAGGTGGAATTATTTTTTCAACATTTCCAATAAATCTTGGTAGTTATGCAAATTTAATGGGAACGAGTATGGTAATTATTCAAATATTATTTAAAAAATATATATATACACACACACACACACATTCATATATATTGTTATTTAGGCAACACCATATATATCTGGTGTAGCAGCTTTAATAAGACAGGCCAATAAAATAGAAAAAAATTCTCACCGTTTTATTCAAAAGGCTTTAATGAATTATGCGATACCAGTTCACGATCAAATATTCAAAATAGTCCCACCAGTTTTAAGACAAGGTGCTGGATTAGTAAATGTTTATAATTCAATTAGAGCTATGGCGTTTGTTCATCCATTCAAACTTGCTTTAAATGATACAGTCAATGGTAAAAAAGATGGTTATTATGACCTTAGCATTGAAAACTATTGTGATAAACATTTGGAATATCGTTTAGTTCATATGCCAGCTGTTTCAGTAAATGGTTATGATGGAGAGAAACAGTTATTACTACAGGAATTGAAATATCGTAGAGAATATGCAGTTGTAAATTTTAAACGGGTGTTTATTAAAATTGAACCTTTTGGAAAAGAAAAAATAACATTAAAAATAACACCACCAAAAGATTTACCGTCATCTGAACATTGGTTTTATAGTGGATTTATAAAATTTGTTCCTGTAGATAGCGATGATCCAATTATTTCTGTTCCATATGGTATGTTCGTACATATGCGTATATATATATATATATATATTACAATGATATCTTATTTTTTAATTTACATGTAAATGGCTGCTTTTAATAGCCAGTAAGTATATTTTACATACTGATCAAAGAAAAATTTTATAATCATCATTATTATTATAAATGCATTAATTATCTAATCTACTTTAATAGGAAATAGCAGCTCCAGGTGGAATTATTTTTTCAACATTTCCAATAAATCTTGGTAGTTATGCAAATTTAATGGGAACGAGTATGGTAATTATTCAAATATTATTTAAAAAATATATATATACACACACACACACACATTCATATATATTGTTATTTAGGCAACACCATATATATCTGGTGTAGCAGCTTTAATAAGACAGGCCAATAAAATAGAAAAAAATTCTCACCGTTTTATTCAAAAGGCTTTAATGAATTATGCGATACCAGTTCACGATCAAATATTCAAAATAGTCCCACCAGTTTTAAGACAAGGTGCTGGATTAGTAAATGTTTATAATTCAATTAGAGCTATGGCGTTTGTTCATCCATTCAAACTTGCTTTAAATGATACAGTCAATGGTAAAAAAGATGGTTATTATGACCTTAGCATTGAAAACTATTGTGATAAACATTTGGAATATCGTTTAGTTCATATGCCAGCTGTTTCAGTAAATGGTTATGATGGAGAGAAACAGTTATTACTACAGGAATTGAAATATCGTAGAGAATATGCAGTTGTAAATTTTAAACGGGTGTTTATTAAAATTGAACCTTTTGGAAAAGAAAAAATAACATTAAAAATAACACCACCAAAAGATTTACCGTCATCTGAACATTGGTTTTATAGTGGATTTATAAAATTTGTTCCTGTAGATAGCGATGATCCAATTATTTCTGTTCCATATGGTATGTTCGTACATATGCGTATATATATATATATATATATTACAATGATATCTTATTTTTTAATTTACATGATTTATTTAGTTGGATTAAAAGGTGCCGCAAAAACGTTACCAATATTTGCAAAACCAGATTATCCACAACTTTACTACGACTCTAAATCATTATATTTTCCCAATGAAACAGCCACTTATGGAATGAAAAATAAAACAGATGCTCCAATTATATTAATATCATTATCAACACCAACAAAATTATTACTTGTACAGGTACTAGATGAAAATCAAAAATTGTTAGGTTTTGTACCTGGTAAAGGTGTCGGTGGGCTTTTAGCCGGATATAATGAGTATCTTACAAAAACTGGTTCACATAAATTTTTAATATTACTTTGGGCTGGCTCAAAAAATAATGCTACTAATAGTGATGAAGATCCAGAAATTTTACCAAACGGTGCTTATCATTTGAGAATTCGTGCTTTAAGATTGTTGGGTGACATTGATAAAGAAGAAGATTGGGAAGTTTGGGTTTCTCCTAAGCTTATTATTCAAAGAGAATAAATTATTAACTAAGCATGTTAGCCGAAATTGCCTCCCTTAATAAATGATTGCCGAATCCGAAATGCCGAAATAATTACCAAAATCAACTTTATTAGTTGTCGAAATTATATCTGAGATTATTTGAACACTTTAACTCAATAGCCAAAATCCTGAGTAATTTTTTTATGTCAATTGATATAAAGAATATTTTATTGTAAAACCGAAATTGCTTGCCGAAATTGATTTTTTCAAAAACCATTTCGGCTAA